TAATCTCCTTGATTTATTAAAGGCAGAATTGAAAAAGAAGAATGTATGTACTCCGTTAATTTCGTTAGCGGAGGAGCTCTGTATTCCGTTAGCCGTTGAGGTTATGTGTGTCAGCTGTGTTACACAGTCCTAGAACATATATAAATGGAAGGGATATTGCCTATACTTGCCCATAGTTAACGCTAATGCAAAAATCTGTGCGAGAAAGAAAGATAGTGAGGGATAAATGTTCTCAATGCGCCGGCGTCGGTTCCGGCGTTCCTTGTTCAAGTGAGGTTGGGAAGCAGCGATTGTGAAGTTTATCTCTCTAGACAGCAGGAACGAAGAATAGACGCATGCGCTTTATCAACATTTATCTGTTACTACATTGGCGCTCGAAATTGCGACGCGCGATATCCTGCAACATGGCATAAAGCTTATTCTACAATGTTTTTTGTTTTTTATTTCTTGCTTTTTATTATTTTTTATATCTAGTCTTTTAGCTTCTTATCTTTTTTATTTAATGTCGCTCGAGATAAAAGTTAACGAGCTTCGAAAGAAACAAGAAATATGTAACATTCACAACAAATATTTATTTAAATACGGAAATAAAATTTTCTTTTTATTCCTTTTTATTCCTAAGAAATAAATCATCTATTTTATTTTATTTATGGTTAATATTTCACAAAAATGTATATTTTGTCATCACAATTAAATTTTTGTATAATAAATATCGAAGAAAACGTAATTAATTCATAAGTAATGCTTCGCAATAATACTTCGACATTTTTCTCTCAGTGTGATTGTAATTGTAAAAATTGACTAATCACAATTGAATATGAGAAGAATATACAACCATTTATATCTATATGCTTACGCGATTATAGAATGGACTTAACAATTCGTTATCACTATCTAAAATATTAGGTGTAGTAAAAAGAAATCCATTATTTTTAATAGATGGCTTTAGTAATCCAATAGATGGCTTTAGTAATCTGTATCATGCGTAGACGAGATACAGCAGCTACCTATTGCTACTAAAGCTATCTATTGGAAAAATAATAGATTTCTTTTTACTACCTAATATCTAACTCACAATGAAATAACTGTATATATAGAGTAATTTTAACATATTTCGTCATCCATTATGAGCAGGTAGAATGAATCGAACTGAGTCGAAAAGTCCTCTATTATTTTGCAATTTTCGCAATAGTTAACAAGATATTAATTACTAAAAATTGCTAAATATTGGTCTTGAATAATTTTTTACTCCAATACTATCAACTTTATAGAAAAGCTGCAAGAGGCAAAAATCATTTATTTTCTTCTCATAAAGTTTTGAGAATTTTTTTAGAATTTTTTAATACCGTATTTTCTCATGTTGGTAAAAATATAATAAAAAAATGTAGTACTAAAAGTTGATAAAAAATTCTAAGAAAATTTTTAGAGAGAATTCTAAAATATATGATTTTGACGAAAAAAAAAAGAATCGGAGCATAAGTTGAATATAAAGGGAAAATGATAGAAACCTGAATAAAACTTTTAGGAGGCAAAAATTGAGACAAAATGTAAAAAAAGCGTACATCTTTTACATTTCGTCTCAATTTTTGCCTTCTAGAGCGGTGCACCACGCACCGGTGCAATCGGTGCCTCCACACCGCCGTAAAACTGTTCCGTTTATCTGAACAGTTTCGTCATTATTTGATGTTATAGTTACATATCTGTACTGTAGATGACGTTGACACACAATTTTAATGTAGATTATATCGGTTTCGGTTAGAAATCAGTGCGTCCATGTGCTTAAAATACGACAAAAAGAGATTGTTATTGAAATTTTATTCGCGTTTTTCTCAGAATGGTGTTTTCAAAAACGATGGACTACCACAAAATTAATTCAAATGTTTTAAAATTTGGCAAATATTGTCAATTGAATTATCTGAAAAAATATCTGTGATTTTTTGCGATTTATATACTTTTTTTGTAATTCATTTATATTGAATTTTTACATGAAAATTGAGTTTTTTTCACACATGCATCATTTTCACATTTTTTAATATTTTTTTAAATCAGACAGATATTTCTTTAGTAAATAATATTTTAATACAAATTAAAAATAATTTATCAAAAATAAAATTTTTGATACTTTGGACCCGTTCTGCTCCATCGTGAATACCTTTATCATGCGTAGGCGAAAGACCTACTGTAGCGCCGCCATATTTTGTTTGCCAGGAATATAATTATTACATACACATATAAACAATATATACACATTTTGTACACTAATAGCGTTTTCACTGGCAAAGCTGGTTCGCACTCAGTGCATTTAAAAAGCCGTCGTAAAGATATACGTTTAATAAAAATATAGAAATGAATTATAAATTGTAAAATCCTCAATATATTTTGTTAATATATTTTGCTATTTGATAAAATATACATTGGATATTTTATTAATTGAGATATCTCACTTTCACATTCCGATTAGATTAGCGTACAACAGCTTTAATATGCACTGAGTGTGCAGCTGTTCTGCCACAGTGAAAAAAGTTATAAGATAAGAGTAACAAATATAAAAAGATATAAAAAATTTTTTTTGTATTATGTATAGTTTTTTAATAATCGACTTCCAAAATAAGATATGACTTTTTGGCCTCCAAAAATAATAACCCCTTAATATACCTATAGTAGAGTAACTCCGGTATATACGCCGCACCTATCTAAATCTTTTTTTATTAAATATTATTTACTATATTTAAAGTAAATGAACTATATCAGTAAAAACTTTATACTGTCTACTATTATGAAAAAAATATTAAAAATCCGAAATATTTATATTTCGTATTAAAAAATGAACTTTTTTAAATTTTTGCATTTTTGCCATATATCCCATAGGGGTAGAATATATGACTCATAAGAGGAGAGAGGGGGAGGTATGTCTCATAAAAAATTTACAAATAATGCATATAAATAAGACATAAAATGACATAACTTATAAAATGCGTTTATAAAGTTTTATTAAGGAATAAGAATGATAAATATATATATAAAATAATAAATAATAATTACATCTTCCCAGATGTATTACAAGTGTTATGACATGAGTAGTGCATTGAATTCAATCTGTGCACTTTGTATGTTTTGGGCATAAATCTCGCCTGTTAAAAATGCCATATATCCTAAACAGATGGGATATATAAGACAACAAACTAAACAAAGAATACAAGAACAAAGTACTTGTATTTTGTTGTACAACATGCTTTATTATTCTTCTACATTCATGTATCACGAAATAACCACTAAGTCTTTTGCATGTCCTACAGCAATCATTTTATATAGATTATAATTTATGATGGCTACTTAATACAGTGACAAATCGATTCAATTCACAATAATTTCATTAATATTAACAGTAAGAAACTGAAATCATAACACAATACTAATATAACATAAAGGCATGTAAGTTGTTTTTGGGGCAACATGTGGGGGACAAAATTATCTTTACTCCTTCTATTTTTTTTGATTTCTATGGCGTATTTTACCGGAATTACTCTATATTATATCGAATAAATTTTCATATTCGAAAAGTCTTCGAATATAGTCTAAATGAATGTATATTACGAAGAATACCTGTTTCAATTCAATAAATAACCGCTGCTACGATACATTTACGAGTCTTTAATCTCATGAGAATCGATCATTTGAATGATCGCTAATTGTGATAATTGTACAGAACAATTTTCTGATAAGTGTTAATTGTAATCGCGACTCGAAGGGTAACATGATGATATAACGAGCAATACGCATCCTATTGATTCAAATCTCACCGTACGAATAACAATAACACATGATAGCGACTTTGTTAGGTACGCAGCGATATAGTGTGTGTATGTACGTCATCTTGTAAAATTACTGTGGTCTACAAAGGCATCGCGATCAAAAAAAAAAAATCTCACCAATGCATCTCGGTCTTCCGCGCTACGGCCGCCGATGGCTGCAAAATTTGAAAGAAATTTGATATACACGATTTATTTCGACTTGACACTTCGCGTTATCTTTTCAGTGCCCGTGTCTGATCGAAAAGATAATCAATACAGCGAATCGGAATGATTAAAGAATTCTTTAAAAAAAAAAAATGAACGTCATTATTGTGCTCTGTAATGGAAGAATGATGTTACTTAACTTAAAAATAGTAACATGCACTTCTTATATACAATGTAATATTAATATGCAAAATATAAAATATTTTATGTAAAGAAAAACATATATTAGTACATCTATCATACAAAAAAACTATACATTATATGTAATATTTCGTATTAACTCTACATTACTCGCGTAATTTTTTTCACGTATTTGCGTGAAAATCATCTTAAAGTTACATATGAATCGGAAACTTTCGGCAATCATTATATCTATATATACATTTATATATGTTAAACAACATTATATCTTAATTTTCATAGTTTCCTTTGATGATTCATATTTTCAATTAAAAGTTGAAATATTTTATATATTCTTTAGTTGCAAAAGAATTTTTTTTAATTGTGAAATAATTTATACTAAATGTAACAATATATATAAATAGCATTCATAATTCTAGTGAGTTTATAAGAGCCTAAACATCCTAGTAAACATCCAGAATAATAAAGGGTTAACATATAATACTAATGTGCACAATATTAAAATAGAATTTGGCAGAAACTTATTTCCTTAGATGATATAAATTTTAAATATTATTTTTAATTTTTTGATAATTACTAAAAACTTTTTATTCTTTAGTTCGTGTCGCTATCGATATTGTTCTAACGGCTTCCTTTTACTTCTTATGATTTCTTTGCCGTTCTCTGCTATCAGCAGCATCTCATTTATGACGTTATCCAACAATTTCGCAAGGATTCTCTTTCTCCTACATCGCGTTTCTTCGGTCGGCAAATATAAGACGACGTGTGAACACGTATATATAGTCACGTAAAGTCACGGCTTCGATAATCCGAGAATGTTTGTGTATATAAGTGCAGAAAAACGATGTGGCGCGATAGAACGTTAGCAGCACTAGATGCAATATTGCCGATCGCCAGTACACGCGAAATAAGACGATATCTGCTTGTGTATGACGTGATCTAACCGGATCTGCTTTACGTACTTACGCGGAGAAAAGTACGACTCCACTTTTCCATCTAGTTTGTCTACTAACCGGAGATCCAAAGTATCTCGGACGAAAATGGCCAGAAAAGTCTGTCACGTCATATTGATTATTTCATTGTTGACTAGGTAAGTTTTTCTCGGTAGTTAATTATTTTTTCCCAACTATTCAACAAAAAGGCGATATACCACATTTACTGCCAGCGCTGAAAACCTATACGTTACGTGCACTACAAAGGAGGAATTACCAATTTTCGAAGATTTCGTGATCATTTTCGGAGATCATTTTATTTTTATGTTTTCTTATGTATTTTTCTTCGTAGAAACTGAAAATGATTATTATAATAACACTAGACTGAAGGAAAAATTGATATAAAATGAATAAAATCCTTATTCACATCATTATAAAATCACTGTTATGCCTCAATGATTTAGAAATTAATTCCAAATTGAGCCATATGTGAGTAATATTGCATCAAAAAACGTTAATTAGGTTATATTTTTCATTAAGACATTGTTACAAAAAAATTAATAATCTTATGAAAAATATGAAAACTTAAATACAATTATACATCAATTATCGCTTTCCAATTAATCGTCTTTACGAATCATTTTGTATTTTTAAATTTGATTTATATCGACTATAATGTATTAATAATTGACAACGAAAAAGTTCTCTTATTAAAAAATAATAATAAATGACGAGATATCCTCTTTCTTTTTATTCGAACTTAGGATCGACAGTGGTAAAATTATATATTCTTCTATTTACATATTTATACATACACACATATAGCGGGTGTCTCAGATTATCCGTACATCCGTTTTATTTCGAAAACAGAGCATTTTAGAAAAAAACGTTTCAGATAAAAGTTGTGAGGTTCTATTTAGTGATCTGATTAGTCTGACTTTGGGTGGCGTCACCAAGATCAGAACAATGTCACTTTGAATTTTTTAAATGGAACTCTCTATTTTTCATTGCATATTCTTGTAGCACACCTCAAGAGCTTTCCAAAATACTATAATAAAATAATTTTTCATAAAGTACCTTTCGAGTTATAAGGCTTGAAAGTTACAATACCACCGGCATTAGCATTACGTAAGGTGTCCGACCGACGGCTAAAATCTCTTGAATGTTGTGTTCAGGATCATGTCCTGAATAACATTTAAGATCAATTGATAATTGTTTCTCTTATTTCTATTTTTGTACTGAAAATTCATTTTTATGATATTAAAAATTATATTAAAAATTTAATATATTATATATATATATATTAGATATTATATGTAAAAATTTTATTTATTTATATATATATATATTATATATATACATATACCCGTACATATGCAGCACAGAAACTTATAGCAACATTGCTGCAACATTTCAATGTTGCATATTGCAATACAATGTTGCAGAAATATTGCGAAGACTTCTTTTTGCAATATTGCTTCAGCAATGTTGCAGCAGTATTTTTAAAATATTTCCAGCAAGAGACACAAATTGACAAAAGAATCATCCTTGTTCAAAAATCAGTAAAAAACAAAGACAAGAATGACTCTTATCACTGTGTCGATTTGTACCTCTGCTAGAAAGTTGAGTCACTTGAATGTTAAGACTTGTATATATTGATTTGTGTATAACTCAATAAAGTAAGGACCTGGACATAATGGAAGAATAGGAATTAATGATAACGTTTACATGGCACACTTAATCAGATTTCATAACATTTATAGTTATGAAACTGACCAATCACATAATTATATTTCTCTGAAAAATGGAATGAATAGTTTGTTTCTAACTACAAATATTATTAAAATTGATTAATGTTCATTTCTACCAATATAGATTAATTTTAATCTTAGTTCAACTTATCTTTTTTTAGTTCTAAAGATTAGAAAAAAAACGAAGAGTAAGTTGAACCGAGATTAAAGTTACATTAGTGGACGGGCATAAGATGTAAACGTAGTCAATATCTATAATTTATAGGAATTGTGCCTATAATTTATAGACATAAAAATTAGAAGTAAGGATATATAATACACAATGGACACAATAATAAGATATAAGTATAATATAAAAAATTAGAAGTAGAAGTTAAATATAACATATTGTACAATGAATACAAATAAAATATGACTTCATAATTAATTATGTCTATATATTTTATAGGCGTGTTTCGATATGTACAGCCAGTACTGAAAATTTATAGTATATTTATGTATATTTATGTATAATAAATATATTTACAGGGTGACTCATTGGAGCATAATTAATAGTGATTTTATAACGGTACGAATAAGGATATTTTATTCACTTTATATCAATGTACCAGTTTTTCCTTTAGTCTGGTTATTATAATGATCATTTTCGGTTTCTACGAAGAAAAATACATAAGAAAACATAGAAATAATACGATTCCCGATTTTACTTGCAAAACCAAGTAAAATTGGTACCCTCCTTTTTAACACTTACGATTTCGAAACACAATCGAAGATACCGATTGCCATCGACGAGATACTATTAAAGACGGTCGGCGCTTATGGAAATTCGCGTGCCTGTTAAAATTTAAGTGATTAAGGCTCAGTTGCACCAATGTTACTTTGATTTTAAACAAGGCTTAAAGCCAAAGTAACATTGGTGCAATCAGGCCTAAAAATAAAAAACTAATAATACGATATTAATTTCATGATTTATTAATTTCGAAAAACATGTACATATATGTTTAACACTTAATAATATTCAATTTTTATTTAAAATTGTAATTTTAATGTTATCATCGAGGTTGATTATCAATAGAGATGATTAAAAAAAGAAAAAACTGCAGAGACAAAATTATAAGTTTCCGGCAATATATTAGATATTACACCATTAAAGATATGCATAATTATTTATACATCATTTATATAATCAAAAATCACGAATTTAATAGTATATTATTGAATATATTTATGTTTTTAATATAATTATCATTAGTTACATTTTTATTAATTGTCGGTAACGTCATCGTTCTTCAATTATCTTCGGGTGCCCTGAGTCTCATTGATGGCCACGAAAATTTGCCAGGCCGACAATTTTTAATAATATCTCGTTGATGTGATTGCGCAATCGAGACTGATGTTTGTCTCAAGATCTCGCAAATTAAACAGAATCCAAATTGATCAAACAAGCGCGAGTAAATGTGAACGAACAATTTACATTGTGAGATACACATCGTTCATTGAAATGAATTGTTCGTATATTTGCTTGATCTGGATTCAATTTTAAACTATAATTATGAATCAACAACTATTTTCTGAACGCGCCAAGCATTTAATGTCTGCGCAAATCATAACAGAATTTAATTATCATTATATATGTTTTTATTCATGGTCAGAGTGTATAAATTATCGCATTTTACAAATGCACGAACTGTAATTTGCCTCAATTGCGAATACGTGTCTAGGCAAATAAACGAAGAGTATAATTTATCATCGATTCCCGACAGTTCTCGATACAATTTTTTTATTTACAGTGCTCATCTGGGGATGGCTGCTCCTAATTGGGTGACCGATTTTACAAACAATATCAATAGACAGGTGGCGAGTTTGACGCAAAATTTGGAAAGACAAATAAATTATACAGTACAACAAACGCTTGCGGAAGTCAACAAAACACTCGAGAATCTACCAAGAGGTAATTAATCACAGAATATTTTACAATATCTACTGATATTTACTTGATTTAAGAACTGCATCAATATGTAATAAAAACTAAACATACACTTAATATTAGGTGTTGGAATTAATTCGTAGCGTTTTACAAGTGATGGGAAGTACTTTCATTAATGTATTTTTTAATGCTCATGTGAAATAAATAACATTCTTTCATTAAAAAACGCTACGAATTAATTCCAACACCTAATAGCATAATTCAATTTTTATTTAATTTAAATGAATAATCGAAAAGTTCAAAAAATTTTTAAAAATAAATTAAATCTTTGCATTATTTATATATAATATATATTTTTTATGCAACTAATAAATCTATAAAAGGTACAATAGAAATCATAGCATTAGGGGAGAGTAGTTTAAATTGGACCTATTTGCAGTTTTTGCTCTCTATAAGGCATAAATAAAATCCGATCATAAAACCAAAGATGCCGTTAGAAAAATCATTTAATTTCTTTCATTTTTATTTGATACCATTTCATTCCTTTCATTTTTTATCCATTTTGACGTATTTCTTATCTGTTGAGGTATAATGGAAAATGTAAAAACACTTTCGGTTCCAAATCGGACCATCCCCTGATCTAAATCAGACCGTCTTATTTTTATGGACTTTTAAATAAAATTTTACAAGATTTTAGTTTATTTTTGTTAGTATTGAGCAAAAACAAACAATTTGATAGTCAAAGATACAAATTTTATTCAAAAAATTACTGATAATTTGTATTTATTACGTCCAAACTCCGGGCATATCAGTGGATCGGTTTAGAGAGAGAAGGAATAAAAAGAATGGAGTATGGAAAGACGTTAAAGTAGACGCTTTGTCTCGCATGCACCCGCATGGATGGAATGAGTCAAACTTAGGTGACTCCAAAACATAGATTAATGTCTCAGATGACTCAGATTTCAAGAGTTGTATGATCGTGCGCCCTATTTTGGATCAAAGAACTGAATCCTTTTACCGGGACAGGACCGTGCGCGGAGAATTTATGCTAGCAAGATGTAATACGAGGAAATAATAAAAGAAATTACGAGAAAATCGTTCTAGTTAAGTATATACAGGGTGTCATTTTAATCTATCACCCCAATTATTTCCGTTCCCTTGCATTTTACAAGAAAATGTTTCAGACAAAAGTTGTATGGTTTCGAGAGGGACATAAGATCATCAGGTATCATTGATTTGACCTTGGGTGACATTGTGAACGTTCGCGAAATGAAGAAATCATGCACAATCCACTAAACGTAACATATTATTAATAATAGAATTGAAATCAAAAAATTCAAATAATCTGAGTTTGATGATTCATGATATTTTATTGATTTAATGTTCCTTAGATCAGATCTGGTCGGTTCAATCGCAGTATCATTAGTTAAAATAGTTGTTTTTGCCCGGTTTTCGTTCCCGACCGGTATTTTTACAGGAAGCGCTTTTGGAAATGGACAAATGGATTTCATTCAAATTTATTTTTATCTTGCTATGTTCGATTTACCGATCAATTACTGGGCAGGAAGTCAATTTCTTGGAAAACGTCAAGATCCAATGGTCAAATGCCTGTTGTTATCTACTGTACTGTAGATTCGATTTGGACATCCAAAGAGAGGTTCGACACGGGTCCTTTCGAACTTTTGCAATAAATTTTACAATAAACCGCAAATGATCACAAAACACTTGATATTTTTGAATTCTACACTTCAATTATCTTAAATCAATTATCTTTCAAATTTTTAACATCTTTTAAATAATGATTTACAAGGATTGTCTTTTTTTTTTAATTTTTCGCACGATAACTGAAAATACATATTTGCGTCTATTCTATGAACGTTATGGTAGAGAACTGTCAAACTGCTGTCACATGTTTGGTGTCTTATAAGGACTTTACATTATAAATAGCACGCAAATTTGCTTAACCATATTCATTTAAATTAAAAAGGTCCTATTTAGAACACGGTCCGATTTACACTCTCCCCTATGTTTATGTATACATACGAAGTGCATTATAAAATTAAATAAATAAATTTTTCATTTCATATTTATACTTTCTTTATCATTGATATTTTTTTATCTTAATTAATTAATATAATTTCATCTACTATTTTTTTCAAGTATCAGAAGGTCGATTGTATATCTCAAATATGGAGAAAAATGACAACAAAAATAATAAAATTCACATTTGAATTTAAAAAGAAGACGATTACGGGATATTCAAAATCATTTGAATTGCCAAATAATACATTTAGAAAAAATTATATAGATTAGTAAATAAATATATTAAGTATATAAATATGTAAATTGTTTAAATAACTAAGATGATGAAGTGGCATATATGGTCAAAGCAAATCGCCATGTGTTATAATATTTTTTACGTAATATAATCAACATAAAGGAAAGAGAAGATAAAAATAAATACGCAATGAAAATTTTTTGTGCAGATGGACAAGGACGTTTAATAACAAATGGACAAATAATAACTGGCGGCAACATCATAAATGTCAAATCTGTAAATGGTGCTAGCATGATACAGACAATCAATTCTGGTTATAAAAACGGAGAACCATACGTGATTGTTGTTAATGAACGAAATGATGGAAATTATCTTTATCACGACGAGACTACTTACTATCCAAAAACTAATGCTACCGAGAGAATTCACTGGAGATTGGATCTCACAAATCCAAATGCTGAACCTGAATTCTTCCCGAATGAGCAATAAAACAATACGTTTTTATTTTCATGTTCTATATTACGGTATACAATTTGTTTTGCTTGATCCATTATTGTACAAATTTTTCTATTAAACGTATTTGGCTGAATTTTAATATATAGGGGTTGCTGATTACAAATTTTGAAAAAATTTTAAAAATGTTATTTAAACAATTTTTTTTGTTAATTTTTTAACGAAGTGTGACCGTCAAGTAAAATCTGTCGGAGATTATTCAGGGTCATGACCTTGACAACATGTCAAGGTCAAGAGCATTGGAACTTCTTTTGTTATTGTCAACATTTACCCAAATTTTTTTGTATTTAATATATTTGATTGTTGTAGTTTTATATTTGGCGTAGCATTTCCAGACTGCTTTTTGTAATTTGGGATTAACATAGCATAAATAGAATATTTAATATACCGGTTTCTCAGAAACCTCTGTCGGTTTCATTTAAGGAGCTGCTGTATTTTTTGAAGATAATAATAGTAGTTATTTTAATTTTTTTCTAGATTTATTATTTCTTTTTAGTTTTAGTTTAATTATTAATACTTACTAAAATGTGTTAATTATATTAATTATTTATGATTAATGTTATTTGAATCTTTGAAGCTTTCGATTAAAAAAATTGTTTTGCCTTTAATATTTTTATTTAATAAGGTAAAGTGTACAGTAATTGACCATTTAAGCGCTGAAATTTAATACTTACTGTAATCACTATTGAAATTATTTGAAATTTGAATTTGATGTAAAGCGAAGTTCAAAAAATATGTCAGATATAAAAAACTTTTAATAAGACCATGTTTTTCATTTTGTAGAAACTTTTATTCAGAAAATGATACCTATTAATCACAGTTATTGAACAGAAAAATGACAGTGATTGATCATTAATATGAAAACCATAAAAATGAAGATAAAAATTCAGAAAATCTTTTTCAAGTATAGGACAGGAACTCATTATTATTTTGATGTTTCAGCAGTTTAGTTTTTCTAAATTTAAACGTTGATTTAGATACACCATATATTCGTACTGCTGCATTTAGCCCCATATAATAGGTATAAAGAGAATAGCATCAATGCGTGTTTCTAATGCTGATTGGTTCCGCATTAGGTGTCCTTACTATTAGTTAGAAAGAAGACAATGTTAAAAAAAGAATAGGTTAAGACAAGGAATTGCGTCATATAGATACCCCAGATATAAGACATCAAATGGCGACTTCCGGCTAATTGGTGCTACTCTCTATATACCTACTCTAGCATCATACCTTTACGAACGGCATCTACGACATTGTTAAATGCCTCTTGAGTATTTCATACGACTTACTTTAGGCATTTTGATGAAAAATTAAACCTACAATATTATAACAACTCAAAATAATAATTTCCCAGATAGCAACGTGTTTGTCTTGTTGGCAACTTAATATCTTCATGATATGATAACGTTAAAGCTGCGTTCGCTTTGGCGCTCGCGAAGCTTGTGAGCATCAATTGTCTTTGTTTAATACTTAATGAGCAACAAGGATGAAACGATGCTTAAAGCGTTGTGAGCTCAAAGTGAACATAGCTTGAGTAGCAATTTGTCAGCAGTTAGTCGACAACTTTAAAATCGTCATCAAAATTTGTATTATTGCCGACAACATAAGATAACATTGACGCAGCTACTAAACTTACTGTTTAACTGCTGACAATACATATACACATTGTTGTCTACATATGTGTATTCGAAATCGTTCGAAGATAATGACCGCAACACAGACTCTTGCATAATGCATAATGCATAATGCATAAGGAAATCAACCAATCGCGCGCGAAATTTTTCTTTTTCATGGAATGGCAGGAAAGGAAAGATTAGTTAATTTGCTTATGCGTTATACGTTATGCAAAAATCTGTGCTGCAGCCTTAAATCTACGGCAAGTTGACAATATCATAAGTAATTACAAATTTGTGCTATTTTACTGAGACATGCTTTGCTTTCTGAGTTTATTTATGAGAAATAATTATCTAGTGAATAATATGTGAATTACAATGAATGGTCAATAACTATAAAAAATAAACTTTCTCAATTACAATTATTGATCATTCTTTTATTTTCGTAATTGTTGTATGAATTAAAAAAATAAATATGTAGGAGATATTCATAAGCTTGTATTAGCGATATATGATAAACAATAAAAGTTATATCATTAATTAAACAATTAATTTTTCATAAAAATATAATTTACCTATTTGAATATATACGCTTAACTGTTAAGTATTTCTTAATTATGTACTACAGTTTTTCTTGCGAGTTCAATTTACAGGCTGGAAAGTAAAAAACGGACTGTAAATTGAATATTTTATTCATATATAAAGTTAATAGAAATCAGTTATTATATTGTGAAATTAGCTGTTAATTTGACTTGGATTTTAATATGTCAAATATTAATTATTGACATAGCCATTTACACTTTCCAGGGAGTTTTTTGTGCGTCAGAGCCGTGGTTTGTTTATTGGTCATTTTATTTGGCGAATCATTTAGATTGAGAAGGAGAAGTGAGTGGCGATTGGATTGTAGTGGAATTATATATTCTTTTAATGAAATAAAAACGTGAATTTCTTGTAATCATTATAACTTAACTTATTTGAATAAAAAACTTAAAATAACAGGACTTTTAATGTTCAAAGTATGAGATGTAAAAGGCTAATAAGAGTCAGAAAACATAAAAAAATCTCCATTGTTCATTTAACATAAGTATAATTGAAAATAAATATAACAAACAAGAAAATAAGAAAGTTAAAACGCTACAAAATACAACACTAAATACAATACATGTTTTGTCTTCCGATGTACAAAAAAAAAGTACAGTAAAAATTATTATTAAAAGATTAAGAAAACGACTGTTTCGTTACATAATTAGATGAGTGTTAAAACAGAGAAACGGAAAATTGTTTGTCAACGATTGCAAAAATTTCTCGTTGTTTTAATGAGAACGTAAAGAGACAAAAACGTTTTAAGTTATCAAAACTAAAAAAATTTTTAAACAAGCATAATACATCTCTCTGGTAAAAACTCATCTCAGAGTCCGATAATTGAAAAAATCCATGTTAATATTTTAAAAACTCGTAACCTATTTGTAAATAAATGAGCTATATACTTTTGATAACAAATATTATATAACAAAATAATATCAAATGACACAAAATTTCCTCTTCTTAATATTTTACATTAAATAACGTTTACATAAAATCGTTTCTACACAAAAATACAGAACTTAATTTTCCAAATTATCACGTATTCGAGTTACAGCAGAGCTCGGCACACAACCAGTTCCGATTAATTACAAATATCCGATTTCAATATACACGCCCGCCCGCACGCACGTACGTACGCATATATATATTTAAGCCCGATCGCAGTCGCTTGAAGGGAAAAGGCTTTCTGAAATGTTGCAGATTTTGATTTTTTTATTGAAAGCGTCAAGGTTGTTATTGCAATCAATACCCTTATTAATACCCTTATTTCAAAATAGACGGACTCTCAGAAGAGTGCGAGGGATCATCATACTGGGTCAAAGTGATAAATTTTTTCTGAAAAAAAAAAATCAATAGCGATAAAGTTGAATTTTTGTCTATTACTTAATTTTGATATCAATTGTCGAGAAATATGATTCCTATGGACCTTTTCGATGGTCACGAAAGCAGTCATGCCTACCCAAATATAAACAATTTTACATGAAATAAAAAAATTGTACGTATTCGGGGAGATATGGCTGTCTTTGTGACCATATAAAAGGTATGAGAATCATATTTCTCGACAATTGATATTAAAATTAAGTAGTAGACAAAAATTCAATCTTTTCGCTATCAATTTTTTTTCAGAAAAAATTTATCACGATCCTTTGCACCCTTCTGAGAGGTATATATGGGAGTCTGCTTGTCTTGGGATAAGAGTATTAACTATCGATTGCAATAGTATTCAATCTTGATGCTTCCAATAAAAAAATGAAAGTTACAACGTTTGGGAAAGCCTCCCGTTCAAGCGATCGCGACAGAGCTTAAATATATATGTATTGTTTTTATGTTTTACACGAAATAAAAGGTTGCCATACTTGTTGTTATGGATAACAATACTATAGTATCTCTGGTTTAGGCCTCTTGGTCTAAATTATATAGAATTTTCTCTATTTCTTGGTAGACGATATCACCTCGAATTTAATATTATGTTTTATCAGTTGCTCGATCAGAGATGTTTTACCGAACGCAGCACCGGGAGTAAATACTCCTCCACTGTAAAAATATAAATACATAAAAATAAAAAATCAAAATTCAACATGTAACTACATGTAACTACGTACAACAATTAGGAAATCATATTTAAAATCTGCAAATTTTGTCAATATTTATGAAACAATATCTTCGCTTGCAAAGATCACAGGACAATTTTTCTGGATGCGTTTTAAAGGATAAAATTTCTATTTTGAAACAGTTTATATGATATTTGCTATATATCCCATCGAATGGTCTTTTTCGCGAAGATTAGAAGCAAAGTCGTGTTAAAATTCTAAAAATTTCATGACTGCCACTTTTCACAGGCAAAATATGAACAGACCGAAACATCTTATTAAGTACATATATTTTAAAGTACGGTTCCCTTGGAACCTGAGAATTCAACTTCTAGGCACGCTAAAGTAATTGTCGAGGTCTCATTATAAAGAAAAAGTTTCAAATTTTAAAATATATGAGATTTTTCGACTTTGCCCATGAAAAGTTGCAGTCATGAAATTTTCAGAATTTTAACACGATCTGCTACCGATCTTCGCGAAAAAGACTATTGGACGAGATGCAAATATGTAAATTGTTTCATTGATATTAAAGTAGAAGTTCTACCTTTTAAAATGCACTCAAAAAAATTGTCCTGTGGTCTCTAGAAACAGAGATCATTTCTTAAATATCGACAAAATTTACAGGTTTTAAAGTAACCTAATTATTGTACGTAATGTATAATTGTCTTTCAATTATCTCTAACCCTCAACTACATGAGTGAGTCATTTGGACTCGGGTGAAAATTTTAATCGGCCGCTACTTTTGTAGTGGTTAATATTGTAGAGTTGAAGTAAAAAATTTGAAATTTTTCTCTGTCGATCGTCGTAATGCAATTATTTCGTTGTTATCTTAATGCTAATGCAAAAGTTTGATTTGGACGACTTGGACTCGTCGAATTCGACAGATTTTTGCAGAAAATGAAAATTCGTGTTTAGTAAGTTTATTAAAGCTATTTCAAATTTATTTATTGTCTTTTTATAATTAAAACGTATATTGTCAAAAAAAAGCATTTTTGCGAGAGGCATCTTGATGAAACTATGACTCTATTTTTTCGGAGTTATAAAAGCATGAATAAATAATGACGTCATTATATATTTAAAATAAAATATTTTCATTGCATTTTTAAAGAAGAAAATACCCGATATATTTTCGATATCATTATTCCGAGCATGTATAAAAATATCCCAATTCACTGCAAATAATTAACTTTTTGGAATGAATCAATGTAACGTATTTGTTTTTCTTAAAGTTCACATTTTCCTCTTTTCAAAACACTACTTATTTTGTACTACTTTTTTTTCACAAAGACTTTTTGAAAAAAAAAAAAACTTATTATTGCACTCTTCACAAATTGTTCTTTCATATTTCTTGGCATAACTTTTTTTAATCATTATCAAAATCTTTTTATGTTTTGATAATTTCGATTCTATACATTCTGACATTTTATTAGAAGAAAAAATATTTTCCATTGAGATCTGTGATAATTGCAGAATCAGTCAAAAATGCCATAAGTCGGACTCAGATATGTAAAATAAGACTCTAAAACGAGATATGTAGTTGAAGGTTAATTAATTATCTTATATTATAAGTGAATAATTTTTAAATTAAAAAAAAAATGACTACTAGATGACTACTAGACAGTTACAGTGAGTAATTAATAATTTATTAATTTACTAACTTGCCAGGTATTTTATCAGTTTCATTAAGAATTGTTGTTGCCGATAAGATCGCTATTATGCTAGTCATCTCATATGCGGGAGAATCACCAGAGACTCTGGTGATTACTTTCTTATTAGGTGGATCTGTGTGTTCATCAGTAGGTTCAGACAATTTTTCAGTCCATCCACTAGCTTTGAACGTAAGAGAAAAATGTACCGATTTGTGCATTTCCGGATTTGGCTCCTCATGACTTATTAAACCGTATGAAAATAGAGCCGGATACTGCAAATATCGCAATTTATTGTATTATCTAAATGATTTTGACAATCGCGGAAGTACTTGCACACATACTTTTAGAAGTAAATTACGGCCGCATGCTGTGCGAGACAAAACTAACAAAAACATACCAGCAATGGCCACAATCAGGAATTCGAAGAAAGACCTAATAATAAGCGTATAGACTTTAACAAAAATTATTTGTCAATATTCATTTCTATCGGTATCATACTGACTTCCATGTAATATAAACTTTAACTTGCGCAGGCCTCTCTTTATAGTTGTCATATAAGAATCGCTGTGTACGAAGAGCTACTGAACGATCGGCACTCGGAAATGGTATGGACCATCCTTCAGAAACATCGCTTCGATGCAATACACTTCTGCAAAATAAGTGAAATTATTAACCCTTACCGTTAATATAATTACTATTTCTTTCTTTTATCAATATTGCATTAACTTGTATATTTTCTAAACATTTAATATGCATAGAAAATTTACTTATGTTTGACAAAATGTGATTTATGTATATACGCAAGACATATAAGATATAGAACTGTGTGTACCTTGATTTTAGTTTCGGTGTGAATTCAGGCAACTTAATAGGATATAATTTTGTGCGTAATGCCTGTACTTCTTTTACGTGAGCCAGACTGTCTATTGTAGATTCCCAAGATGCATAATTAATTAATGGACCTTTCTTGTCAGTGCTTAGCCACACGCTCATGTATATTTCAATAGCATTCATTTCTCCTTCAAATTTCTGTTGCGTGAAAATGACTCCCAAATCACTAGGAATACAGTCAAAACCACAAGCGTTTACTATGTAGACGCCAGCTTCTTTTGCTGCTTCATTATATTTTAATTGCATTTCAATCATGAACTATAAAATATTGAAGATATCAGAGAGAGAAATCATTAATCGATCATTGTACTGTTGTACAAACATTGTTAAATTACCTGTTCTTCACCAGTGACATCAACATAATGAGTACGAGTAGCAATGCATGTTTTGATAACTGGTTCTCCATAAAATCTGTATGGACCGCAACAATTGATAAGTATCTTTGCTCGCTCCGTCATTTTCTTGAGAGATTCCTCATCTTTTATGTCAGCCAGAATAATAGGAACGTCCTCTGATAAGATACATGTAATATAACATTTTTGCTAATAAAATGGTTTACTATTACGATTGGAATAATTAGTTCTGAGTTTTAAACGTACCAATATCTAAGGCAAATTTCTTAACAACTGCATCTAAAGCTTCTTTCCTACGACCAGCAATACCAAACTTCATTTTCCGATCCTTACACATTTGGGATGCATTTTTCACTACATATTTTCCAGTATATCCAGTGGCACCAAATATTACTATATCTAAACGATCATCTGCCATTTTTCTGTAATCTATAGCAAAATATCATTAAAATCATTAATATTTTTTACAACTTTACGTTTAACTTGACAAAAATATCTTTTGTTAATATAAATCTTATAAAAAATTTAAAAAATGCTCATTAATATATTTATTATATTTATCAGAAGTAATTCATTAATTTTTATATTATACAATATTATTTTGTTCTTATTTAACCTGGCGTGAACTAGGTGATAAAGTACCTACCTAAAGTACCTAAATTTAAAAGTACTTCATAAGATACAACGAATCTCTCACTAAATAAATATAAATAAAATATTCAGAATTATAAGAAAATTATGTTTATTTTAATCAAATTAATTTAAATAAATTTATAAAATAATTATAAATAATAAAATATACATATATATATATAATTATTATTAAATAAAAACAAAGTAACAATATAAAGAAAAGTAAATAGAAACTGTTTATGTTAAGCTTAACTAAAGGCTCCAAAGATAAGCTCACAGGAAATAAACAACCCCAACAAAAAATTTTTCATGCATGAATATGTATAAATATGTATAAATAATTAAAGAGATAATTTTCACATTTTTGTTTTAGAAAAAAAACAAGCTTGGAAAAATGTAAAAAAAATTGCTCATAATTATGCGTAATTTTATATATAATTATACATAAGTAATTTTTTTATATTTTTTCAAACTTGATTTTTTCTAAAATAAATAGTACGAAAATTACATTTTTAATTATTTTTAATGTTTTCACATTACTATTATTATTTCTATTACATTGAAAAGTAATTTTACACAAGAAGGAAGGATGAGCATGTATGGACATATTTTATATATAGTTATACATGTTTATGAATATTTATACGTGTTTATGTATGTTCATACATATTTATATATATTCATGCATGAAAAATTTTTTGTTGGAAATAAAAAATTAGTAAGAACCGACACGAGTAATTCATGTGTAATAAAAAACTGCATATATTAAACAATAAAATTACAGATGTCTTAACCTTTGGTATTGGATTCTTTTCAGTGTATAAGAAATAATATAACGTCAATATCCGTCAATATTCATTTTTTGATATGTTTGTCTTCGCCGAGATGTAAACCCATCTCCTATCGTTGCTATTTAATGCTAGCTCAACAGGAATATTAGTAAAAAGGGATATTATATCAACGAAGCCAAAACATAATTAGGATCAAAAACAGAACCATTTAAATGCTCAACTAAATGGTCTCTAATGTAACTGGGAGCTTTTGGAATACTATCACTAATTAAATTGTGTAAAAAAAGAGAAAAATTATATAATGGACTGTTGACACATGAAACAATCACTCTCAATGGTAACCCTCCTTATATATTGGGTCATCTAAAAAGTATCCGCGGTACTTTGTCACTAGATATATGACCATCAACACACATCTAGTGACAAAAAACCGCGGATACTTTTTAGATGACCCAATATTTTAGTCAGACCGTAAGCTCTAAGTATAACACTATCGGATGTAAGCAGTCTACAGTACGTTAGTTCATCAATAAATTGATCTCGCTTCCATCTCACCAAAAAAGTGCGTAAGTCTCGAGTTAATTTTTTACTTGGATCTTTATTAACAAAGACGTAAGTATTTGTGTCTGAGAGAATCTCCTCCATTTTTGATACATAGGCATCCAGAGCAACGGTGACATTATCGACATTTGTAATGAGTATATTAGGATGGTTATTAATAAAACTCTTGGTAGTGCGTAACCATTCCAAAATTAGTTTGTCAATAGATGTAAGAGAAGGAAAATTATTGTGGAATCTATTGAGAATTGGAAAGGAATTATTCCTGACAAAATTAATGATATTATTAGGACGACCAGTAATATTATTTTCTATATGTTTAATGAATTCAATCAAGGTTCTGTCTTTGTTGTATTTATTGATTGGAAGCCCGAATTTTTCGCCAAGTTGCAAAAGATAACGAACCTCTAAGGGAATGTCAATGTCACTTAGGTAAACCATTTATCATGTAAAAAGTCTAAAGGAGGAGCCTCATCAAAAATGTCGGGAGCAATATCAATTCTCTCAAAATTAGATTGGATATTATACGAGTATTTATCAACAACGAGTTGAATACTTGAAGGATAATTATTAGTGTCTTTAGGAACAACTTTTGAATTATGTTGTTCAGGATCATGTCTTAGATAACATTTGTAAATATCAAGGTCATTGGAAGTTATTCAACTTCTTATTTTCATTTTTACGTAAAAATGAATTTTTAGTGCAAAAATAAAAATAAGAGAAATAATCTTCAATGGCATATTGATCTAAGCCATCACGCATTGGTCGGATACTTTGGGTAATGCTAATGTCGACGATATTGTAACTTTTAAGCCTTACAACTCAAAAAAGTACTTAATGAAAAATAACTTCATTACAGTGTTCTGAAAAATTTTTGACACCAACTATTAAATTCTGGCATAAAAAATAAGATGATCCATTTAAAAATAAATATTTGACCTTGACGTGATCTTGGCGATGCCAAGGTCAAACTGATAAGATCTTTAAATAGATCTTTTTATAACATAAATTAATAAAATGGCTTAATTGAAATAAATCAAAAATAGGTAATGACAAGGGCTAATTAAAATTAAAATTAACGTTCAATATTTAAAACCAGATTAGTAAAAAGTACAAACATTTCGACACCGAAGCGTTCCTTTTTTGAACACCCTGTATATCATATTATATAATATATACTATTGTATATATTATTTCCTGTGAGTTCATTTTTGAAACTCTCTACTTAAGTTTAGAGTGCATCATTTATTTTTATTGATTAAATATTAAACAAGAATAAACAATACATTAGGTACATCATGCGCGAAACAGAATGTAGCTCTAAAGAATTGAGAATAACGTCATTTTTTCCCTCGTATACCGGCGAATTAACGTAATGACATTAGACCGAAATCAGACTATGTATTGAAGATTAAAGATTAAAAATTGAAATTTCACCAATGAAGACAAAGAAATTTTAGTTTCTTTTATTCTGATTGGCCAAACTTCAATTTTTCAATCTTCAATCTCATTCTTCAATGCGTAATTTGATTCTAGTCTTAGATGACATGACGCTGCATATGTCATACATACGTAAAAAAAAGATCATAATTCAAGTGCAACGCATGCAAGATAAAAACTAAACATACTTACGAAATTATCGATTGCAAGTTAACAACTGTACGAATCGATTTTCTCCTGAAAAATATATTTTTCTACGAGACGAATTACGCTTGCGCCACTTGTGCACGATATACGGGTGTGATTGCCGAGCGCGAGAGGTATCGACAATCGACAGTCAACTGTCAAAAAAGGCAACAATTACATCAATCATCAATGCTCGGAATTGCTGCAGTCTGCTGCACTTCGAACAGATTCCCAAGGCGACCCCCACTACCACTCGAGATTCGATCGAGCCCATGTGACGTTTGCCTCAGGAGTGTCGCGATACAAAAAGTATGCTGGGAGCATATCTTCCGGCAAATATCATTAAAATATTTTTTTTCCTACATGATTTTTATTTTAATATTTAAATTTTTTATTATTAACATATTACGTGTATATTCTACAATAATATAATAAGCAATAACGACGTACAGTATTATAATAATTGCTTACTATATTATTGCTTATTATATTATGTCTCTCCGGCCGATTCATTTTCGGATTAACCTGAGACTATAAGTGAGATACGGAATACGAGATTTTGCGCGTTAGCGGAAAAAGCGGCCGGCGTTGTCCATTCTACTGATTGGCTAGACGCGAATGCTGCATATGACAATTATAGTGGATTCGGAGTCGTTTCCACGGTTGCTCTTCCGTCGCTCCCAAGAATACGAGGAATCTTTCTAATACTCTGGGGCACTCGGAGCAAGTTGTAACCGCGCGAAGCGTAACTAATATCAGGGAGCATGTCTCGAACCGTTCGGGATAACCCAAATGTAATGACGCAGAACTTCGTAATAATTCTCCTTTTCAGAAGGATAACGCGGTGTAACATTCGATGCATTTAATTATTCCGCTTTCTTTATGTTGGTGGAACAAGGCGGACGCTACGTGCCTACGCGATGTACGGATCAACGGAATTGATTTCTGATAGGTTGAAATTCTTATTCTCTATTTCTCTGTTCCTTTTATTGTGCGGAGCCTCTTATATTATAGCATAGTTATGTGCACTGAAAAGATGTGCTAGAAAAAGAGTACTCCAACGCCTCAGATTTGCATTGCCGAACGCAGCTATTAAGTGCGTTCTGAAATAGACGAGAAGCACATACTCTTAAACTTAGGCCGGTATTCATAATCAGATTTTATATTCAAGACCGTCTTAAGTACGGTTTTAGTCACGAACCAATCAGAGGGCTGCATTAGCGTCTTAAGATATTACTTAAGACGGTCTTGAAATAAGAATTGACTATGAATATCGGCCTATGTACTGTAATATGTATACATACAAACGCGCCAAAAGTTAAATAAGCAGTATCTATGGGTATATTCGGTTTCACGCATAATGCATCATTTATCCTTGTTTATCGAATGTTAAACAAAGATAAATGATGCATTATGCACATCATGCGTGAAATGGAATGAATCCTATATATGCAGTGGATACGCCCTTTTTTCCAGCGCGCCGTTTCTTCGAACAATGTGTAATAACGATGCCATTTTCTAAATTAATTATTTATTCCGGATATATATGAGGAAATATAAAATCTATTTTTTTCATTCGTTAATGCAACCCTCAATACAAATTGGTATCTGTATTTGACCATGTAAAATAATCAACGAAAGAATTTATTTTAGATATATCATAATCAATATAGCAAGTTTTGGATCACACAATAAATGTAAAACAAATAAATAAAGAACAAATTAAGAATGAATTATGCAAACGTAAGAATTATTTTATTTTATTTTAAATGTAAGAGTTAATTTATTTTATTTGTTTTTTCAATATAAGCACGTAATTAAATATAATATATAATTCCTGATTAATTTAATATTGTAAAATACATAGCACAAGAGTGAGGTATGCTTTCTCTTATTATATAATTAAAGATACGAAACTTTACTACAATTTCAATTGACATTTCATTTTCTTTTTTACGTTTTATTATTACATTTAATTTTGATACTAATATTCGTATGACTCCTAATTAAAATTTATGTGTGCTTTATACCTATCCATACTTTTTACAACACTTGAAGAGGAAAAAACACGTATAAATATTTACATATGATAAATGATCTGTAATAGAATTATGCGTAATAGTTTTAGCTTGACTTTAATTCCGAGATAAATTTATAGATTATTGATAGATTACAACTTAGTACACAATTCATTTTAATAAACTAGATTGTATATCGCGAATTCTCAAAATGCATAATTCATGTATGGATATTCCTTATCAGTGTCGATTATCTTTACATATACTTCGTATATCTTTACATATACATACACTTTGACAGAGATTTAATTTCTCCTTCGAATTCTTGTTGTATGAAAATGACTCCCAAATCACTAAGAATACTAACAAAACCACGAGCACTTACCATGTAAATACCAACTTTATTTGCTGCATTGTTGTATCCAATATTCTCCTCATGAATTGTTAAAAATTATCTGTGGTTATTGTTCCAAATGTATATTCAATTACTTTCTCTTCATTATCAATATAGTACAAGTAGCAATACATGCTTTATAATTGATAAAATCAACAATATAGACCATAACAGCTGACGAGTATGTCTTCTATCTATTTTAAGAGACTTCTTGTTTTTTAGATCAGAATCATAGGTATATTCTCTATAAATATATAAATAATATATATATTCTCTATAAATATATAAATATATATAAGTGTTCGTTAATAACAAAATAATTCGTTGTTTCTTGAAATAATTGAAATTTTAAATATACCCTTTTCATCTAAGACAAATTCTTTAACAATCACGTTTAAAATTTCCTTCCTATATTTCCACCAATACTGAACTTTATTTTCTACTCTTTACACATGCGTCGCAGCCTTCACTACATATTTTCCAGTATATTTAGTGGTACCAAATATTACTATATCCAAACGATCATTTGCCATTTGCAAATCCAACCTATTGCAGTTCCAAATTATTATATACTTTATAACTTATATTTAATTTGACATAAATGTCTTAATATAAATCTAAGCCTCACGAGAAATGTTGCACGAATATACTCACCAAGTATTTATTGAGAAATAAATAATTTGTTATTTACAGTATTTTTTTATATGATATTGGAAAAAGCGGCACTTTAAAGATAGAATCAGTATATTTAAAGCAAAGCACATTCTTAACCGCATTTTGATACAGTCGTTGATTTCATAATCAGTATTATATAATTACACTCACGATCAGTTATATATAAAAAAAAATTTTAAATATTAAATTTTAAATATGTATGCACATGTAAAAAACTGAAATATCATTAAAAAAATATTTTTTGGTATTATGTTTCAAACATAACGCTATCACTACCATGAAAAACTTTTTTGCAGATATATTTTCAGAAACGTAGAGCAATCTACAATAAAGATAGATAAAATACGTTATTATAGTCGCTTTACAGATTTAATATACGCACAATTTTAAATTCTATTCCATTATGCCACTGTATTTCATTCTCCGAATCGATATTTACAATTCGCAGCCTTATTATTTCTTTATTTCATTGTTGTACACTCCATACCGTCGCAATCATATGTTGGTAAATTAAATAGCTCTCATTTCGCAAATGAAAATCTCCAGAGCTATTGCCATGCGATCAATCTTATCCCCAAACACAAGAAAATATGAATTACATTCGTTTCTATTTTAACATGAATCCATATCGTCACAAATATGTTGTCTCACTTTTTCAATATATGTTACTATTTACACAAATGCACATGACAATTGCAAAATTGGCTTCACGCGGCGCGTAAAATAATCTACAAAATAATTTATTTTATGTACGTCAATAAGACAGATATATTCAGCATGCAATATCGATAGTTTCGAATTATACAAGATAATACGTTCTATAAGTCGAGCTCGACTTTCACCTTGTTTCTTCGTTTATTAGAAATACAAAACTTTATGAGAAGCCTTCCTTATAACAAAAAAATATTATCAACTGTTCATTATTAATTAGAGCAAAACATGATTATTTTTGATAAATGTTGATTATCTTTAGTCAATCTCTAAATTTAAAATCTTTTCAGTTAAAAAATATTTTACGGGAGATGTAGTGTGTGATATTATAGATAAAATCTTTATATCAATGTTCTTTCTTTCATGCTCTTTCTGTCTTTTTTTTTCTTCCTTTTGACTGAAACAAGATTGAGGTAGCAAATACTTCCTCATACTCTATGTTAAATAAGGAAAGCATAATGCTGTATTAAGTGATTCAACAGTTCGATACGAACGGAGTATAATTATCGGTCTTACGCTAATATTTACAAGTATGTCACATTAGTTTTGTATGTTCAGAACTATCATAAAGTAATGAACGCAAAAATAGTACTTTTATCTATTTCTATTCTCTTCAAATCACAAACGCGTCAGAAGACTATCGAAAAAAAGGTGCGATCCAATCTGTGTTTTCACCATATTTTGATTTGCGTAACAGATTACGTTAGGTGATTGTTGAATTAACGCGTTAATTGTCGACCGATATTTACTAACAAGTACAATAGATCGACACAGCGTATGATTTCAGTGTGCATATCATATTGGATAATCTCGTATAATTCCATCTCTGTGAAACACAATGTTCCTTTAAATCTTTCATCTTTATATAGAGAAAATGTATATGTTAGATTTGTACAATTTCACAGACATTATACTATAACGCAACACCATCGTCCGTCTGTGTCTACTGTAACGCTATCAAATTGGATTGCATTAAGCATAGAGCCGGCTAATTATTACTCTCATCTGACTCTCAAATGAGAACAATGAAATCAGATATCATTATTCGAGGCGATTATGTGTGCGAGCTATATTTCTAAACTAAATATACATATATAATTAGTATCGAAAATGCAAAATATATGCGCGTAGCGCGGAAGCTGTTTACTTATTTTACATAACGAAAGATATGGTAGAGGATACGGCACAATCAACGTTATCAATGTTCAGGGACAGTTTAGGATATGGCTTATTTAACATTTTACAGAGTATTCTAGAACGCGTAACGGTTAGAGCGTCAAGATCTTCCAAAAAAACATCAATTAATTTGTGCAACTAACAGAAGCAGAAACTTCTAAATCGTCAACTGAACCACATCGGGATAGAATATAAACAGATAGAAAATATATACATTTATGATTCTAATGTCATTAATTTTTTTCACAATTGCAC